ACGATTAGCATCGTTAGCACCGATGTAGCTACCACTCGCTTACACGCTAAGCTTTAACATTCATTACGTAGCTGATTAAAATCATTAACACATAAATAAGTACTCGATTTTCACTTACCGCAAAACCGCAGTCATGCACAGTCTGTTTCAACCGCAGAGCGAGTCACAATAGTCCGATATATAAGCATGGAGAACAAACAAACACGGCCGGGGTCAAGTTGTGTTGCCTGGATGAACTAAGCAGGCAGAGTAGCTTCACGGAGCAGCTAGCAGAGAGACAAGAAGCTAACAGCAGCAGTCACTTCACAGAGCCGTCACTCAATGTGACCACGCCCTAATTTATGCAAAAACTTTAAGACCTAATATAAATAAAAGGGTCGTGTTAGAAAACAATTCACTCACAGATCCATAATCATGAAGGTGGAATCTAACTATATTCATACTAATATTTATTGCATCCACGTGTAGAAACATGTTTTTTTATGCTGTAAAATTGGGCATTTTAACATAGGGGTCTATGGAAATTGGTCCTTTCTGCAGTCAGTCCCTATCGGTCAATATATGAACTGCAGTGTGTGGCACTTCTGTATTGGCGTCCCGGCTCTTCCCCAGAGTTTGCCACTTGCAATAAATACATAAAAAAAATTCATCTGTGGAACCCGTGGCGCTATAAAAAGCACGAACAATCATCTGAGCCTGCCCGGCTAAAATAACTGGATGGCCTACCTGCCTGTTAGCCTTCCATCTGTGCACAAACTTATCTCGTGCCCTCATTGGTCATGTGCGCGTCCGTGTGTTGGAGGAGGGGCTCTGTAAGGAAGTCTGAAGGAATGGGCAGATTTTTAAATTGTACTTTCAAATTCAAGCGCACTCGAGCTGGCTTCCCCATTCTTACCTACCCTACCATTAACTGCCAAATCAAAAATTATTCATCCAAAATGGCAATTTCTTTCGAAATAATATATTTATATAAGTTATTTATAATTAGTGATGCATTCATGTGTCTATCACATAGTTTATCATTATCATTTCTAAGCTGGTAAATGATAAGAAAACATCGATAACTTGTACTGCCAGGTATCTCCATCCATAACAGTACATCATAGTGCAGTAGTTCTCAACGGACCAGTTTCGAGTGGGACGTGGATGTGTGAGTGAAGAACAATATGAAGGGATATATGCACTGTACTTCACTTGTATTAATATTGTATGCTGAAAAGCGTATATATTACAGCACGTTTTTTTGTTGAATAGATTTGAGTGCTTCAAAATGTTGGTTCGCGATGTATTGACCAAGTAAAAAGTGGGTCCCGAGCCCTGACCAGTTGAGAACCACTGTCATAGTGTATTAGTAGATTACATTTTTGTATTAATGATATAAACCTCCAAATGTAACTGTTAATGAATGTGGTCAAATACATGTAGTGAGTAAAAAGTATAGTATCTGATGCTTAATGTAGTAGAGAAGTAGCCTACAGCATTATGAAATGAAAATACTCAAGTAAATGCACATCTACCTCAAAAATGTAGTCAAATAGAGTAGGTGAGTAAATGTCCGTAGTTATTATCCACTACTGCTTTTCAGTGAGGATGACAACGCAACAGATGATTACGGTGTAACATGATGCTCTGTATATGAAAACATTGTTTATAGTCAGGGGTGCACACAACTTTCTCAGTGAGGTACTCAGATGAGTACCTGGAGTCAGTGTTTGGTACTCCAACTTCCGGCTCCCTCAAAGTTCCCATGAAGCCCTCTGTATCGCGAATATCAGCGGGTGGGGGTGCTAGTGGAGTATGATGAAGCCCTCTGTATCGCGAATGTCAACGGGGGGGGGTAGTAGTAGAGTGCAGAGCTTCGTGACCACAGAGCGTGTGAACGTTGTGATCAGCTGTTTTAGCGCAGTGCTGCTGTACAGGCCGACGTTAACAGCAGCCCTGTCTTTGCACACGGAGACCGACTCCGTCGTCCGGTGATCTAACCGCCTTATGGAAAAGCTTCACATATACATCGGTACGCAAATGCGCTTTGTGACACAAGTGACGGTACGCATTTCAGATTGTTGCCGCGCATGCGTACCTGCGTACCACTTATGTGCACCCCTGTTTATAGTTATTTGCACAACAGACTGGGGAAGTGATACGTGTGTGGCGATAGAACAAACCACACCAAAGGTTTGGAGCAAAGTAGACATTAAAAAAATCTGTTTCTGCCGGGTCTTTATATGGACTTGGTGGTAGAGGTGGATAAACTAAGCGAGACACCATGTAGCCTCAATGTATTAGCAATGCATATATTAAAAAAATAAATAAGCCAGTTTCATAATCACGCTTTAGACTTTACATCCAAAGATTACATAAGAGGATTAGGACCACATCAGAATTTTTTTTTTGGGATGTGACCAAAAGTAAAATAAATAATTTGGTCAAAACCCACTTTTTTACTTTTACTTTTGGTCACATCCCAACACATTTTTCTCATGAGGCCCCAATACTCTTCCGTACAACATGCACCGAACATGCCTCAAGTCAAACTTCATATTCAGTCTGAATGCAGAGGACCGGTCACAGGCTGATATGTTGCAGCTTTACTGACTTAAAAACATGTTCAGACTCTCACTAAATGTCTTGTAGCCAGCTCATTATCATTTATTTTATTATTTCAGCCATTTAAATGTAAAAACATTACAATAAAACAAAAATGTAAACATTTAAAAATCATTTATCCCATTATAATACAAATCAGTGCAAATTATTTACAATTATTTCAGATTAAACATTTTAAAAGGAAGAAAAGTTAAGTATATATTAAGCACAATTAAGTGTTAATAAAGGCATTCATCACACTTTCAAAGCATTGTGCAGATCATTGTTCCACTGTTAAATCCTCACTCTGCCAGCACAGCAAAGTTATCAAACTGAGCCAGTTCAAAGGAGTGTGTTCCTAAAGCCGCCCAGCCGTTGGGGGGGGCCAGCACCACAGCATTCTTCCACAGAGGGTAACCATTCAGCAGACCTGACGCATACTGACCCTGCAGAGGATAACACAAGGAGAGGCTTTATTACATACACTAATCGTACATTATGACCATCTCTTTAGACTCCTGCCTACTCATCCTGATGGACAGTCACATGGATGTGACGTAAACAAACATTCAATTCCTACAGAGCCGAGCAGCCAGAAAAACCTCTCTCAATCTTTGTAGAGCAAGGCAAAGCAGGGTATGTATACTCCTTTCAACACAGTGCAATTCAAAGTGCTTTACACAAATAAAAACACAGCTTCCTCCATAAAAGATTTGACTTTTTTAAGAAATTAAACTAAAAGTGTAACCTGCTCAATAAATCACAGTTACCAGCTCTCTAAATAAACTTAAATATGGATTTGAAGAAAACACTCAAGTGGGTGTACAGCTAATCTCAAAGTCTGTATGAACACTCAAACCCCTTCAGTCAGGCTCATATCCTTTCTGCTCTTCATCTTCATTTATGTATTTGATTGTTCATGATTGTTCTATTGGTTTTTAAATGTGCGGAAGCATGGGGTACTTTTTTATATATTTGCCGGTTGTTTGTGTTGTTTTTAAAATGTGTATCATAATGGATAGTGTCTTTTAATTGCAAACCAAATCCACCTACGAGTACAAATGAGGGAACCTGAAGTTTTGAAAAGGACAAAAACACTTTTCAAACATTAAGGAACTCCACGTACCTCCACAGTGAGAGTTAAGGTGTGCCAGCCGTACGCCCGGGTCCCAGACTGTCCCTCTGCCAGGACAGTCTGTCCAGCTGGGGACAGGAAGAGGAAAACAAACAATAAGAAGCCATGGCACCTGTTTGATCCTCAACAAGGTCGGCTGGACCAACATTTTCAAAAGTATGTTCCTTTAAACCTGTTTGGAGATTACTTATTTTATTTCCATTTTATTTCAAAGGACAATTCTAGAAGTACTACTTTCTTTTCAAGGTGAATGAAGAAGAACTAAACAAAGAATGAGAAGAATTCTGCTATCACTTACAGTAACTGTTAGCAACGTTAAAGCTAGGACAGGCACTAGGACAACGCTGCTATAAAAATAAAGACAAAACAAAAGGACTGTCGACATTCTTAAGTTGAAATGAAAGCTCTGAAATCCTACCAGCTGTTTCTTGACTGGTCACGTGAGGCTGTCTCTTAAAAGACATCTTTAGACCATTAATGCGCCACTGAAAATTTACGATAATAAAAAAATATATATATATCGCTTGACTTTACTTATAATCAAATGTCTTCAAATAAATCATAGAACTATGGAAGAGGATAAGGGCCACATGAGAAATATTTTTGGGATGTGACCAAAAGTAAAATAAAAAAGTGAGTTCTGACTGTTTTCTTTAATCTCAGAATTCTGACTTTTTTTCCAAGATTTTGGAGATTTAAATAAAAAGTCAGAATTCTAACTTTAATCCCAGAAATCGGAGGGAAAAAAAGTCAGAATTGTTGGTGTCCATAATTAAATGTGTAGGGAAGTGGAAGGTGATGCTACTACTACCGACTCAGGGACATTGGTATTGAAGGTATTGCACTCAGATGGCTCCAGTCCTACCTCACTGAACGATCCCACTTCATCTCCCTCCCCAACCTCTCCTCTGCCACAGCTTCAGTCACCCAAGGCGTTCCTCAAGGATCAGTACTTGGACCCCTCCTCTTCATCATTTACATCCTGCCCCTCGGTCAGATACTCCGCCACTTCAACCTGGACTTCCACTGCTATGCTGATGACACTCAGATCTACCTCAGCACCAAATCCCTCCATAACCCACCCCTTACCCACATCGATTCCTGTCTGACAGCTATTAAAACTTGGATGCAACAATAACCTCCTCAAACTGAACAGCAACAAAACAGAACTCCTCCTAATTGGCTCCAAATCCACCCTCAGCAAGGTCACTAACATAATACTCACCATCGATGGCACCATTGTTTCCCCCTCCAATCAGGCACGCAACCTTGGCGTAATCTTTGACCCCACCCTCTCCCTCGAACCTCACATCCGCCAAACAGTCAAAACCTCATTTTTCCACCTCCGCAATATTGCAAAAATCCTACCCTCTCTCACCCGCCCCGCAGCCGAACGATTAATCCATGCCTTCATTTCCTCCCGCCTTGACTACTGCAACTCACTTCTTTACGGCATCAGCACTACATCCCTCAACAGACTCCAACGGGTTCAAAATGCAGCTGCACGTCTCCTCACACATACCAAATCATGGCATCACATCAGCCCAGTCCTCAAAGAGCTCCACTGGCTTCCTGTCTCCCATCGCATCAATTACAAAATTCTGGTCCTCACCTACAAAGCACTCCACCATTTGGCCCCCCCTTATCTCACAAACCTTCTCACTCCTTATCAACCCCCACGGCCCCTCAGATCCACCGCAGCCGGACTCCTATCCATTCCCACATCCACACTCTGCAGCTTTGGGGACAGAGCCTTCTCAGTGGCAGCTCCTAGGCTCTGGAATTCCCTCCCCCAAGATCTCCGTGACTCTGAGTCCCTCACAGTCTTTCAGTCCCGCCTCAAAACACATCTTTTCAACTCTGCCTACCCATAAGCCCCCCTCCTCTCAATCAATTTCCTCTTGACTGCCTTTTTATTTATTTTACTATACTTACTTGTTTGCCTGTCCTTGTTTGTCTACCCTCCCTCATATTGTAAAGCGTCTTTGAGTTGTGAAAAGCGCTATATAAATAAAATGCATTATTATTATTATTATTATTACTGACCGAGATCATTGGTCACTTTGTATGTGCCGTCTGCAAACACCCAGAAGAAGACCCCCTGAGCGCTGCGGACGCACTGCCCTCCTTTATCCACCCGCGCTGCTATGAACACTCCCCCGGTCTTCACGCTCTCCATGAACACATCACAGCTGACCGTCACGTTCTGCCTGGAGCACAAGAGCGGTCTAATGTTGGACACAAACCTGGATTTTACACAGTTAAGTTAGCACATGAACACGTTGAGGTACTTGAAGGTAGCACCCCTCACCACTGGTGGTCTCCGATGACGCTGATGGTCTGGTCAGCGTCAGCGGCCCACGTGATGGGTCTCTCAGTCAGAACCTGGCGTAAAGTGAAGCTGTGAGCCCCGGGGTCCGTCAGGTTGAGGTAGTACTCAAACACCCCCGTCTGGTCGGCAAAGTTTGGAGCCTCAGAGAAGGGGGGGTTTCCTAGAAGAGGCCGCACACAGAGATGGAGAAGGTTTTCCTATCAATGGAAGATATCAGGACAGAATACATGAAGGTATACAAGAATTACAAGGTATTCTTTTTTTTTTAAATGTATAATTTTCTGAAAAAAGAAAATTGAAGCCAGTTCATTACTCAGGAAAATGGATTATACTTAATCTTCCATTTGTTGAAGTCCCTCTCAGCATAATGCTCTGGGTAAACATTTAACCAGTGTATATGTCTGGGGCTTTTATTGTGAAAGGTAAGAATATCAGAGTGGATTTGGTTTGTCGAGGTTGAAAGGAGTGTTTAATAACCCTCAACCCATAACCTCGGATACCTTACTGTAGTCACATTTTGACATGACTGGTTTATGCCTGTATTTTCACAATGATCAACCTTTTCCCTCTACCTCACACTCAGGTTGGGTGGTGTATGTGTCGTACTTACGAACATCAAAGTTGTCCTTGTATTGTCTGGGGAAGCGAGCAGAGGGGGGGGAGCCGGGGTAACTGCCTTTCTGTCCTGAGGTCACTGTGGTTAAAGTGTAAACCTCATCTTCAGCCACGCTCAAGGTGAACGAACCGTCCACAAGCTGAAATGATAGATACACCCAAAAATAGAAATCTGTGTTAGAAATGTTGCTCGGTGACGATACATCTGGTAGGAAGATCTTTTGAATGTGCCTCGTTACCGTCAGAGGAGTTCGTTTCTGGAAGAAGGAGGGCTTTTTCGTTTTGAAGTTAAACTGAGACCGCCATACTTGGAGTTCCTTAATGGAGGCCTGCAGGAAATAAATCATTGAGAATACAACAAAAGCATTGTAACATGATTGTAACAGTGTGGTGAAGATCTCAGCGGAACTTACAAAGGATCCCTTCAGCTGGAAAGTTGCATTCTGGGAGGTCACATTGAAGGGGGGGAGTGGAGGTCTAATGCATACTGAATGATCATGAGTCTGTAAAGGAAAAACAACATTTATTTTCCTTTCCTTTCTAACTTCATCTCATCATTGAAGGCAGGAAACTCCCCGAAGAAATCCTCTTTAAAACTAGAAATAATAATCCAATAAAAGCTGAGTGATCACAGAAAAGCTGAGCCTAAGGCTGTAGCTCTGGTGTTTGAATATTGTGCACAGCTACTCCCTAGAGAATTGAATTACATCATTTAAAATGACTATGTGAAATTACAGAATTTAAAAGTTAAAAAAGGTCAGCCTAACTTGCCATGGTTTCTATGACAACAGTGAGGCTTCCCCTCCCGTCCGTCAGGGCTACATAAGTCCCGCCCTGCGCCAGGTGTCCCACAGTCTGCAGGTAGCTCCACCCTGGCTGGGTGAACTGTGTGGTGTGGGCTGGAGAGAAAAGCAAACTGTTTCAACATTTCATTTGCAACGCTCTATACGTGGGTATGGACCAGGCGTCAATTAGACGCCTGCAGCTAGTGCAGAACACAGCTGTGCAGAACGTAGCTGCACGTCTTCTCACTGGCCACAAAAAGCGTCACCACATCACCCCAATTGTGGCCTCACTGCACTGGCTCCCAATTCGGTTCCGCATTGATTTTAAACTCCTTATATTTGTTTTTAAAGCCCTAAATGGGCTGGATCCGGCCTATAAAGCAGAACTCCTCCAGCGCTACACCCCGGCCAGAGCATTAAGGTCTGCTGACCAGCTGCTGCTGATAGTGCCCAAGACCAGGCTCAAAACCCGAGGGCATCGAGCCTTCGCAGCAGCTGGCCCTAGGCTCTGGAACAGTCTGCCCCTCCATGTGAGGTCGGCCCAGACCCTAGGGGTTTTTAAATCAACAGTAAAAACTAACTTCTTCTCCCTGGCCTTCTAGTCAGAGCGGAGCACGACTCATGACATTTCCCTGTGTTTGATTTTTATATTTGCTGTTGTCATTTATTGTCTTCTGTTTGCGATCGCAGTAGTGTGTTTATTATTTGCATGAACAGCACTTTGGCTCGACCAAAAATCGTTTTTAAAATGTGCTATATAAATAAAACCTAATTTGATTTGATTTAATTATTAAATTGTTTCAGTTAAAGAATTTAAAAATAACCTATATGATTTCCACCAAAGAAGTTATGCTTTAGGTTCAGTTGGTCAGCAGTAACTACGGCTGCAGCAAAGAGTAGGGCAGGAATGAGTCCTAATACCTGGAAAGGAGTCAGCATTTTAACACTTCTGTCTTCCCGTTTCCAAGTCGACAGTTTTTCTGAATGTGTTTTTGGTTAGATGTCTGAAATAACTATTGTGGTAAAACAAGCTTTAAATATGTTTAAGGACATAAAAAATGTCAGTAAATACACCACTGGTGAGTCAACCGTCTGTCATAAAAACAGCTGTTACTAACAGGGGACTAAATAAGACAACAAAACATCATCAAACCAAACATTAGCCGCATTTAGCTCAGCGGTAGTGACGTCAAGTCATGTGACCTTGATGTTGTTTGATTATGGCCTAATGTTAGATTTTACTTCAAGAGACTGTATTTGCGCTTTAATATCATAAAGTGCTGTTAATATGAGGAGACTATCCTGCTAAACAAATCGTGAAAGTATCAGAAATGTCTGTTTGCCAAAGAGATTATTTTATGCAATATTCTAAAATCACATGGAAAAATCCGACAGAAATACATCATCACTGCACCACTCTATTCATTAAACTTGGTGGACGGGTGTAGAATGGGCCAAGAAAGAAGCAATAACATTTTGGAGCAGAAACAATGATGTGTGTATTTGCCCATCAAATTGTCTGGGTTTGTAGGTGGCACATGCTACACCCTCTAAGTTTCATTTATAATATAAATAATATAATAATAATAATAATAATAATATTGGGAGGAATGAAACCCTCTTTAATGGTCACATATGCAGAGCACACAGCACACACAGTGAAATGTGTTCTCTGCTTTAACCCATCCTAGTACCAGGAGTAGTACTAGGAGCAGTGGGCAGCTATTGCACAGCGCCCGGGGAGCAATGGGAGTGGGGGGGAAGGGGGTTGTCCGGTGCCTTGCTCAAGGGAACCACGGCAAGGCAGGAGGTGAACTGGGACCTCTCCAAGTAGCAATCCACACTCCATATTTAGGTCTGGTCGGGGACTTGAACCGGCGACCCTACGGTCCAAGCCCTACTGACTGAGCCAGTGGTTTTACTGCCATCCTGCTGACAGACAGACCCTGCTGAAAACATCACCTCCATGGTGGAAGCAACAAAGATTTGTCTAATTGTAACTTTGTGAATCCATGTGTTGTACCTGTGATCCAGATGGGGGGGGCCACCTCGTAGTGCCCGCTCCACGGCTCCTCGGCCGTCATCAGCCCGTCCCGGCCGAACGGCAGATCCTCGTAGTAGCTGGACACCAGGTTCCAGGAGATGGTGCTGAAGGAGACAGTCGTCAACACACAGCTGGACAACGCTGTCGGTCCCAACCTCACCAAGGTGCCTGATCTTTAAAATCACTTTTACAACTTAATACAAATATTTTCTATTATGTTTGCTTAAAATTAACTGATGAACTAAGTCTTAAACTTTCTAGTTTATTAACAATGGGTGGACATAGAGTACTGAGAAACTCCACGTGCTAATATTTAAGATGTAACTTTCAGGTTCAAAAGCTTTAATGTCATGTGCACAATATGTACAGTGTGGTGGTTGGCAATGTACATCTAAATTATTTAAAGTCCCACACTCCAACAATGCAAAATACAAAACAATACAATTAAAAAAAGACATAAAATAGTCGAAGAGACTAATGCATTTGACCCAATGGTGCAAGTTTAAATGCAGGAGTAAGTAAACTAACCGCATGTAGAATAGAATGAGACAAAGAGAAGGTCAAATTAAATTCTGTACAGTGGAAGAACATTATGAGGCTGATAACGAACCACAAAGTGAAGCAAGTATACACTCACGCTGTCATGAATCCATTGACGTAGTTCTGGTTGAGGATGCGGGCCCAGCAGCCCCCACCCACCTCGTCATTCACTGAGCTGTAGTCCTCCGAGGACCAAAGCTTCTTCTGGGTCTGCAGGGCCTCCTTCACTGTGGTGGTGCCTGGGTAGTGGGCCCTGAAGGCCACACGTCACACGAGGAGAAAACATCACAGGTCTATAAACGTGTGTTTGAAATGCAAGAGAAGACCTGAGCTCAGGGTATCGCTGTAAATGTGAACATCGGATCAAAGCATATGGTCACATGACCTCAGAGCTGTCCTGGATTTAAATGCTGCATTACAGTGAAGGGATGTACTCTTCTGAAATAACTGTTGTAGCTTTTATATTATTTGCCCACTTGGTCATGATATAGATGTACAGTACCAGTCAAAAGTTTGGACACACCTTCAAATTCGAAGTTTTTTATTTATTTAATTGTTTCTACATTGTACTGAAGACATCACAACTATAAAAGAACACATATAGAATTATCTAGTAAACAAAAAAGTGTTAAAAAAATCCAGCATATGATTTATATTTTGCTGGCTACTGAAGAATGCTATGGTAGCCATGCTGGTTAAGTGTGCCTTGAATTCTGAATAAATCACCAACAGTGTCACCAGCAAAGCCCCCCACACCATCACACCTCCTCCTCCATGCTTCACGGGGGGAACCACACATGCAGAAACCATCCGCTCATCTTCTCTGCGTCTCACAAAGACACAGAGGTTGGAACCAAAAACCTCAAATTTGGACTCATCGGACCAAAGTACAGATTTCCACTGTCTAATGTCCAAGACTTCCTTTCCCGGGGGGGGGGCCTCATGAGAGCCAGTTTCATCATAGCGTTTGATGGTTTTTGCGACTGCACTTGAGGAAACATTCAAAGTTCTTGACATTTCGGATCGACTTGCCTTCATTTCTTAAAGTGATGATGGGCGGTCGTTTCTCTTTACTGAGTTGAGTGGTTCTTGCCATAATATGGATTACAACAGCAGTCAAATAGGGCTTTACACTGTGCACTAACTCTACCTCTGCACAACACAACTGATGGTCTCAAACACATTAAGAAGGCAAGTAATTCCACACATTGACTCTTGACAAGACACACGTGTTAATTGAAAACCATTCTAGGAGACGACCTCATGAAGCTGACTGAGAGAAGCCAAGGGTGTGCAAAGCTGTCATCAAGGCAAAAGAGGGTTACTCTGAAGAATCTAAAATAAAAATCATATTCTGGATTGTTTAACACTTTTTTGTTAACTACTTCCATATGTGTTCTTTTATAGTTTTGATGTCTTCAGTATTAATCTACAAAGTAGAACAAATTAGAATAAATAAAAAACTTCAAATTTGAAGGTGTGTCCAAACTTATGACTGGTAGTGTACATAGGTGATGATTTTTTATTAACAATATTTTTGTGCTAATGCTTTGTGAAAGCACTAAAAGCCAACCCTACAATATCTTAAGTAGTATAATATATTTATACAATACTAGACATTTTTGTGATATTTGATTTTCTCCATACTGCCTAGCCCTTTATCTAACAAACGTATACATATTCCGCGATATATTTTTGACAAATAATTGATATTACTTACATTGCTAGTATAGTAGCTTAAAAAAAAACAAGGAGCTTACGCACACATACAAAAAACACAAAGGCTGTGGCCACATGCATATTAGTATTGATAGTCCAGTACATGCAGATAAAGACTATAACCCTTTAAAGATGAGCACTGCTCAGTAGAGATGTCCCGATCCGATCACGTGATCGGGGATCGGAGCCGATCACATGATTTTCAAAAGATCGGAATTGGGAGTCAGGTGGGTAATGGAGCTGGGCATTTTGGTGTGCGCGCGCCCAGGGTTCTATGTTGTGTATCGAGGGAGTTCGCTGCACGATGTCGCTCGGCGGTTCGTCACGTGAATGTTGTGTGGGAGAGCGGGCGAGATGTACGTCTGTGGGTTTCATATATCGTCGTAGTGATTTGTGGGTGAATGTTGTATTTTATAGAGACGACGTTTCATACGTCATATAGTAGTAAGGTATGTGTGATATGGTTTATTTGTGTATGTGTGGTTCGAAGTGTGTGGTGTGTTTCCGAGGGCCTGGCCTAGGTGTGTCTGTAGTGTGTTTGTTGTGGTGGTTGTAGGTTGATTGTATAATACTTTACGAGATTTTGTGGCTTAAATTGATTGACGCTCTCTTGTGTACGATACTTTGGTTCCCACCCTAGTCTACTGTGGCTTATGTCTGGGTTGCGGATTGTTGGTTGAATTTCAGATTGCGGCGTAAGGTGAGTTGATCGACGTTGTTACGAACGTGTAAATCGTAACGTCCCCTTTATTCCACTGTTTGCTACTCCGGATTACCACGTATTCTGACGAGCGTTGTGACGGCTGTTTGTAAGGGAAGTATCTCGTATGTTTATGTTATAGTCTGTATGTTTTGGTCATTTCGAGGAATTTTAGCTGCTCGAAGATTTGTGATTCCGTAGGCATGGGTTAGTTATTGTTAGGGCATTAATATATTGTCTGTAAAGTGTGAGGTATCTCCTGGTTGGTTCGCCTTGTGTCCTACTGTCTAGTCCGACGAAGCTATATGTTATAAGGATGTCACTAATTTGTCGATAATCAACGATCACAAACGAAGACATATATCGCATGATGTCAGTGTGTGCTAATCAACTCTGTTACTGAGGTCTATATGTTGAGCCATGCGGGACTTAGTAAGTGTCACGTCCTCTGGGAGGTCGCCGTCGTTATTTATGTCATCTGCTATTTTACGCACTTCGAAAACATTTGCGAATTAGCGAGATACAGTCATTGGGGGTGAGATTGATGAGTTAAAGAGATTTAGATGTTGGGCAATTATCTAGGGATCGCGGATGGTGTGATCTTGTGTTTATGAGGATGTCCGGGGGTGCGGAATTCATAGGGGCGGTGTTTGCCGTGTGTCCTTTTGTCGTCCATCGTATTTCAGTCAACTTTGGTTCTTTTGCTGCGATAAAATAAAATGGGTGTTATACAACAAGTCTTTTCCTGAGTGTATCTTAATGTACTCTTTTGTCGCTGTTAACTGGGTCCGGTTTTGGTGTACTTCTCTGAAGTTTATTATAGTAACTCTTTGAAGACTGACTTTATTTTTAAGTGATGAAGTAGTGCCCAGAGTTTGTTTAATATAGCGTGATAGCTACGTGAGTGTCAGTAACTTCAAGGTTTCATGTCCGTACATAGAGAAATGAGACATCCTTGATTGGTGATGTTGTTTTGGGTTTCGTTTACGTAAAGTCTCTTGTCTTCGGTCCACTGTAATTTTTGGACGTACTTTGTGGTATGTTCGCTCTGATGTTTTATGTTTGTGTCTTTTATGTATTGTTTTTCTTTTTTTGGTGTTCTATTAGGCCGTGTTTTGTACTGGTGCAGTTGCTTGTATTTGTGGTTGTCGTGTGTTTACGGGGGGTGTCTGTGTATGTGTAGGCATGTAGTTTCTGGATTGGTCGTGGTCCGGAATATGTGTTGTGGTTGGTTTTTAAGGTCGTGGGTGATATCGAAGGCATGGGTGGATTTGCGTGTCCTAACCTTGAGTATATCTCTTGGGCGTTTTGTAATGTCATGTGTTCGCTTGTCTCGCTCTGTCTCCGTGCCGCGGTGCGGCTTGGGGTGTTCTGCGGCGGGGCGGCGACCGAGGGTCGTCGGTTGTACAGGGTTTCGGGTGTAGTTGCGGCGACCTTTCTTAAAGGTGTATTTATAGGTTGTTGTTGTCTCTGAGGCCTATAGACTCGCTGTAATCGCTAGTTTGTGGCCAGTAGATGTCTGGTACTGTAAGGGGAGGACTGCCCTCCACTACAGGTTTTTAACACATGACGTTCTGTTGATGTGATGTTGGGTTGTTGTAATAGCGCGCCTAGATAAGCCCGTGTGTATGGTTTGGGATGAAGACTTAAGGTATTGTTGGTTGTGTGGGTGACTCCATGGTGTTGTGTAGCCTTCATTACTTAGTTATTCATTTTGCCGTGACCTTATAAGAGAGGATCGTGTGTATGCGCCTCGTTTCAAGTAGTGCATGCCACGATTTGTTTCAGTCTTTGTGGGGTAATATAGGCTGTTTTGGTTCAGTTTCGGTGTTCGTTTTTTTGGGCTTTGCTTTGTGCTTTCCGCGTGTATTTATTTTTGTATAGTCATTGTGCTTGTGGGTTGTATTAGGTTTTGATTGTTCTTTGTTTGTTTATTTTTTTTTTTGAGTTATTGGTTTGTTGCTCTGTTTTCTATTGTTTCCGTTACGCACTTTGTGTTTTCGGTTGGTGTTTGATTTCTTTTTTTTTTATAGATTTGTGAAGTAATAATAGCCGCGCTTGAGGATTTAGGAATGTATTGTCTACGGCTGTTTATGATTAGCGGCGTTATACTGTAGGCTAGATCTTTTTTATGATGTACGTTTCAATTCATAAAGGTTTTTCTTTTTTGTTCTGTGGTGTGTATGTTTTTTTGTAGTCTTACGAAAGAAGGTGTCGTATGGGTGATATTTCCGGTTAGTCATTCGTACTTTATAGCCTGTCGTCGGAATTGTGGGAGTTTTTCGTGGAGTCTCGTTGAGTTCGAGGGCGTAAGGTCGACGATAGACTCTGAATTCTTAGTCCTCTAGTGGGTGTCGTTGTTAGTTTTGTTATTTTTATAGTGCAGGGCACTACCTTTGCTGTTTATTTCTATAAGATTTTATGTTTGTTTTGTTATCGGTAGTTCGTTTGTAGGATGGTCGTTAGTGTAATTATATCAATGTTGTGTTTTTGTATGGTATTAACCATTGAAGTCGACAGGAATGTTTCATAGTGTGTCTTTCCTAAGCGCAGTTATGACGCCATTCTTTTTTTTGCCACAAAAGAAGTTAAGGAGCGTTGTCTCCCATGGTAAGGAAGTAGTAGCATTCGGCGGTCTTTATGACTTGCTAAATGACTGTACCTGTGTTAAGACGTGTTTGGCTTGTTCGGTTACGGCCTTTTTCTTGTTGGTTACCTCTTTTGGTTTATAATTTTTTTATCCGCTCTCAATTCCTGTTGAACTTGAGAAGAGACTCTACCTGTGGTTAGCACGCGGGACAGAGAATTGGATTAGTCTCATGACTCGTCATTCCCTACTAGGGCTAGTGAAAAAACGAGGGTTAGGCTAAGGCTATATAACTAAAACTGTAAACGGCTATGGCTAAAAATATGGCTAGGCTAGAAATACGTTACGTTAATTCTCTTTTTTTTCTTTTTTTGTAAGTTCAACAGGGAAGTTCCAATAAAAAAAATAAATTAGCCTATAAGATTAGGTGTACCTATATCGCAAGAAAAAAGTGTCGTCGTAACGTAGGTCAAGTCCAACACGTCGTACCTAGTTTTGTTTTGATTTCGAATAAGTCATTAGCAATCGAATGACGATGTTAATCTGTGACGCGGGACGGGTGAGACAAACGGCTAAACCTCTTTTTCGTTGGTCCGATACCTTTTGTTCGGGTTCTTCGTTGTGTATGTACTACAAACACACTAAACCTTTGGTTTTGTTCCGGAGTCCCTACTGAGAATTCTAACTTGTACCAGTAAAAGACAAACCATTGTAACTTATCGTTTTAATTTTTTTTCATAATTTTTTTTTTTTTTTAGGGCTAGGG